GAGGCGTCCGCAAGTTCGATTCAACAACAACCGACACCTTAGGCAAGGAAGGAAAATAAATGTATTCGAAACCTACAAAGCAGGTTTAGGTTTTTTTTTTAGAACCTTGAAAATATTATAGTGGTTACCAATAAGGCTAAAAAACATGCCTTGACAAACGTGGACCTTTATAAGATCTTTATGTAAAAGTTTTAAAAATTACAAATAATTGAGGGTTATTTGTGAGAAATTCATCACCACAGTTGATGCATGAAAACGAATATTGAGTTAAATTTAGATAAAGAATAAGGTTAATAAGACCGCCCAAGAAATTGCAAGATATTTCCATAGTAACGGATTTTGTACCATTAGATATAATGAAGAAAGGAAGTAAGTTTTGGATGATATAAATTGTTGTCGTTTATGATTGCAGTTTTTATTTGTTTATAATCCGTATTTTTGTTGGAAACAGTCAGTTCTCGTTTTCATTTCTCAATATTTGAGTTATTGAAATTCCGTGCCATTTTACAAAAAAGACTGACAGCATAAGATTGACAAAATTCGAATATTTACGAAAATTCACAACTTTGCTGCAAAGAGGAAGCTGGAAGATGTACCGACGATTCTAATAATTATATATTGATTTTTCCAAACCAGATTCGTACATTCGGTTTCAAACCCAAAACAGTAAAAGCAAATGTGACTCACATTTCTGACTTTACTTTCTTTACTTACTTTCATATAGAAATAGTAAGGAGTGTAAATTAATTAAGAACATTTTAAATAGGTTAAGAGCTAAATAGCATATAGGAATATATTACTAATCGTTTAAATTAAAAAACAAAAACAGAATTTAACTTGTTTTATTTTGTTACTTTAAAATGAAAATTATGCAAATGAGACGATTAGGTGATGCACGTCATAAATTGGGAGACTTATAAAATATCAATTTAAATCTTACTTGCGTTAGTTCTTTGAAATGAAAATACCAGAATGCATTGGTATGGACTTCTCCCAAAGATGTCTTAGCCGATTTTAAATCTTATTGTTCATTGTCTCAAAATCTTAAATTTACGATATAATTGTAATAATAACATTGAGCGGTTAAAAGTTTCTCTGGAAAATATCGCGCTAAATATATTTATGTATTTTTCTATTTGGTAGTATGAAGTTATACTTCATATTCATCATCCAATTTATATACAATGACATCGTCATTAAATTGAAATAAAACAACCTTAATTATTTAACATAATATAATTATTTTTTATTATTGCTTAATTTACAGACCTTCAACCTATTATACTCTATACTAAGTACTTTTATCGTTATTTCCTCTTTTACATCGTATAATAATCTAATGTAATTAACTAACTTTTCCTTGTACCTTGACGCAAATTTTCTTTTATCAGATATGCAGATATGTTAGTTGTTCGTCTTCCTGGTCCTAAACTAACAAGATACAATGATTTTCCTTTAGGGTTATGCTTGTTCAAATTATTAATGGTTTCCGGATCGAAGTTTTCGGTGAATCGTTGAGGTAATCCAACTAGACAACTTCCAAGTTCCACTTAGATTTTCTCACCGAACTGTGTTGTCCTTTTACTAGAAGTCAGTTTTTTTGTTTTTGTCACCAACCTTCAGTTTTTGACAACTCTTTAAGAAACAAGTTTCCATTAATGTTTTTTAGAAAATATGACTTCGTTATATGGCTGTGGCTTCTGTTGTAATTAAAATTTAACTATTTAACACATAGCCACATGCTTATAGATTTTTCACATATATGGAGGGGAGAGAAAAAAAAATCGAAATCTCCGAATCGAACACACGAACAGTGTTGAATATATTGTGAATATTTAAAAAAAAAAGTTCCGTCATAGCCCGAACATAACCGAGTACGATTTATACTGCGCATGGGAACCCCTCCATTGCCGAATATTTTCCACGAAAACCCGAATCACAATGCATGCGCCAACCCGAACATACCCGAAGATTCAAAATTTTCCGGCGGCAAGCCGAACACACCCGAGTATTCACGAAAATTGAAAAATTCCCGCCAAAAGTGGCTGATTTACCTTTGCCTTGGTATATTTTTGCACGTTGCGCTTTCTTCTGTTTCTTTCATTTGGTGTACGAGACGACTAAGAAATTATCTGAACCCATATACTCTAGTATCTCGCTTTTCTTTCTAGTTTGTCCTTTACTATTAAGTAATCTATTAATGATCTGTGACCTCTCGTTGACTATGTATGTATGTATGCAAGTATGCATATCCTTTTTCTTGAAGAAGGTATTTGTTAGTTTGGTTTATCGAAAACGGCAAATTCTCTGAGAAGTTTTCCATTGTCATTATTGGTACGCTCATTGGTAAATGCAAAAGAGTAAAGGACGACAGAAAATCTTGCACTTAAATTTAGAAAATTTTCACGAAGAGTTCGACCGGTAACAGAAAACCAATATGCGGCCATACTTTCTTGGCGCGAAACATTTTTGAAGGTTTATTGGGTAGTATTAAATTGAGAGCGTATAATAAAATATTTGCTAATAACGCGAGAACTGATTTTCCGGATACCTTCGCGTGCGATTTAATATTAAACGGGATTTACTCTTGGACGGCTACACCGTAAAATATCAATAAAGATTTTTAATAAAACAAGATTAAATTTTTCTTATACCCAGTGAAACAAGGCGGCGTCTTATTAACTGTCCTTTTAACTTTTATGACGTTATTAGGAAAGGGAAAAAAAGGGTGTAAAGGGATTTTTTATAACGATCCGGCCGATGAAAACGGAGTTAATTAAGCGATAAATATTATTGTGCCATAAAACCGGTCAATTCAAATTTATTGTTTATACCGGAATGGAATACCAAGTTTTACCATAAAATTGTTCGAAATTACAGTTTTAATGGTCTGTTTACTAATGTAAGTTTGAATTGAAAACATTTCATCTCCTACTGAATATTTCACCAATACAGATTATTGGCGGAGATGGAAACAAACATAACAAGCCTATTCTTACGACGCTGTCTTCTACGAAGGTTAACGACATAAAGACTGAAGTGAACTGGACTTAACTATAACTAGATTTTTCCATTTGCCAAAAACCCTCACGCGCGGACACAATAATATATAATAACTAACTAACTCACACTCACAAAATGGCTGCCTTTTATGCTTTTATCCACAGACTACTTAATATACCACTGTTCAAATTAAAAAAAAAGAATTAAATATTATAAAACAAATAGCTTTTAACAATGGTTACAACTCAACAATGATAGATAAGATTATATCTAAAAAGCAGTTTCAAATAATTCTGAACTCTATCTATCCCATATTAAACACCGAACCCAAAATTTATAAAACAATAAAATAGATAGGAGAATCTAGCAAGAAAATGTCGAAATATCTCCCTAAATTTGGTCTTAAGATTGCTTTTAAAACTGAAAACACCATAGGAAAAGTTTTGAATAATAATAAAACTAAATCACGAAAAACTCAAAAATCCAGAGTCTACAAGTTAAAATGTTGATCATGTCCAAAAATTTATGTCGGACAAACAGGTAGAAAATAAAAGTTCGGATTCTAATCTGAATTTAAATGAATGGCATCATTTAAATTCAGATGCACAGGTTTGACGATAATTTTGATATTTTATATAATGAATCAAAAAGCAAAAATGTAAATTTCTTGGAAGCTATGGAGATTAACACAATGAGATATTCGAATCTATTACTTAATGACCAATTGGATTAAAATGCGCCTCCCTTGGAAAATTTAAATTTATAACAATACACCTGTAATTAACAATCCTGTTACCTGTTTATATATATCGATGTCGGAATATTGTCAGGGCACGGTTTCGCCAAAAAAACTCTCATAATTCATGTCATATGAAAATCTGAACATTTTTTGTAATATATCTTGTATTTTCAAGCGTGAAGATAGGGTTGTGGAATTGACCCGTCAATTTTTTTTTATTCAATTGATCAGTCAATTGGACGGTCAATTGACCGAAATAATTTTTAAAATACCGTGGAAATTATATTTATTAAATTATTTTATATATTTTGTGCGTTACGTAGCCGTTGCGTCGTTCTGGGAACCAAATTGATTCATTATTATTATTATTGGGATTCCCCGAATCACTAAGTATCGTATTCGGTTATTCATTGAAGAGGATTATAAGAAAATTATACATCACAAACGCATAATAACTTACTATAAAATACATATTATTATTATTATTATTGTTATTAAATAATAATAGATAACGCTCCACAATTGAAAGATGTTAGTTAAAACTTTTTTTGACTAGACAATGAAGATGTGCTCAATTGACCAGTCCTGACTCTACATGAAGATCAGCATTTATTACCTTATTTAATTAATATAATAATTTTTGCTTTGTTATGATTATTATTATTATTTTTTTCTTTTAAATTTAAAATTAAAAAATTTGTCCATCTCTCAAAGTGGCCCACTCAAATAATAATCATATTAGTTAATTAAAATTAATTAAATATTCTCCAAACAACGTTTAAAGTTTTGACCCAGCTCAAGATAGTGTAGGCCCCTTATGCATTTTTACTCCGTTTATAGTACTTTACGGTTTCTGCTCAGGATGGAACGCTATTTTAATATTACCAGCGTTAGCTGAAGACGAGCATTCGAGTGCTCGAAACACGTAGAGTGGAGTGGAGATTTTTTCACTAATACCCAATACCCAATATTCCCAAATATTTTTTAAAAAAGCCAAAATTTGTCACACAATACAAACTTGTTCATTTTTATCAATTGTTGACATGATGAAAACATTTGATGTCTATATAAATAATTTTAAATACATTTTAATAATAATAATAATAACTTTTGAATTTCTTCGATCTTCATTGAATGGTTTTCGTTAGTGTTTTTTAAATGAAATATATTTTTGTTTCTTGTTGATATTTTTCACAATGTTGTCTCTTTTTTTTTTTAATTAATTTAATCAACAATAAATGTTATTATCAATTGTTACCTGTAACTTGTATGTGTCGTCTGTGACAACGACGACATCTCTGCATCTGTCCAGAGCTGTGTAGAGAGCCTGGCAGGTGGCATGTTGCGCCATCGGTTTGACGTCACTGTGTTTCAGCAGAATCATCTCGTTGACGCAGGTCAACAAATTGGTCGTTTCTATAATGCACTAACAGAAGTCCTTATAAAAATTACTAAAGACCATAAAAGCGCCAAAATGAATTTGAGGAACTTAATCTGGAAGCTTCTGGAAAATTACACAAGGATAAGATACACTTATTATATCTTAGTAATACTGAAGATGATAACAAAAACACAATTTAGATATTTAAATTGACTAGAAAATATGTACAGGGTGGCCCGTTATTATTGCTAATATTTCGAATTCTACAACTATACAAGATTCCCATAAATGTAGGTCCGGAAATGCATTTTTCCAAAATGCAGGGTGTTAAAGTTTTTTTTTATTAATTCAATTTTTTTTTTGACATTTTGCAGAGTTATTTCTAGCTATTGAAAGAATATACGCTACTAAGTTGAATTTAATTTCGATACTTTTCTAAGAGCGACTAAAACTACTTTTTCGTCTTTTGAAATTTTCTCATATCTTGCTTCGTTTACGAGATAAAAAAAACTATTTCATAATATACAATAACTTAATATTTGTCACCAAAAAAATATCCAAAAACTGTTGAAAGTGACCACCTCCATCTCGAATGCAGGAATCTATCAAAAATAGCAGCTAATTGAGTTGCACCCAGCAATAGAAGCAAAACTGACAAATTTCAAACAAATCCGTGAGAAGATATTTGAATTAATTTAAAAAACTTCTCGAAAACAACTCATTTCCCGAACTACATTTATGGGATTTTTCTTTCACAAAATGAACAGAATAATCATCCCCTTAAATATTGTAGCGTCTTTTTTAAACAACCTTCGTCTTTTCCTTTTTGTTTTGATATTCTTTAAACATTTTGATATACTACGAGCCAAAACTTACGTATGCTTATTAAATTTGAGTTCTTATCAGAAAATAAAAACGTTGGATATGTCGTTTCCGCATATTCATTATTTCAAAACAACAAATTGAATTTCGATTATTACCCTGTTGAATCCAGACTCCAATAAGGAAGTAATAGTAGCGTCGTCCCTTTCGAAAGCACTGCAATAAACAAAACACTATTTTGAGAGAAGATAAGAATACAAAAACATAATCGACAGTAAAGAAATTTAACACTTTGCTAACGGGATTTCTTACGCGGTACCACCTATTTTTTTTAAGAATTTATCGAACTCATTATTTCTAACGTGGACGAGGTGTCCTCAGCTGACGTTAAGTCGGTTTCCCTCCATAATCTCGGAATATAATTGGCGCAATCAGTGTCGAGCGGCTTTTGTAACAAATGATCCTAATTTATAAGCTGTAAGCTCCGGGATTTCCCTTGTCTTGTCTTGTTTAAAAAATGAAAGTTTATTAACTGAAAATTATTTGATTTTTATCAAATGAAAAATAAAAAATAACAAACCTGTACATCAGGTTTCCAGGGCTACCTATTAATTTGTGATGAATATATAAAATGAGGATGCTAAACAGTATATGATTGAAATTCATTTTCCTCGAAACAGAACACTACTTTTCCGATTGTATCTAAGTCAACGAACAAAAAAGTTATTACAGCTTTTGTTACCTCTACCGCTTTAAAGTTACGCCCCAAATTACGGCCAAAATTGGTTATAATTTTAGAAGCAGATTCGACAGGTCATAATTCCTAAAATGCTAAAATTTCCAAACTTTTTCTCAAAGTGTTTCGGAAATATTAACAAATAGCGATTTTCAGTTCCATTCTTTTTAGGGCATTTGGCTGTGTTACGAGGCGTTTCTCGACATACGTTTATATAGAAAAGTAGGGGTTATTTTGGATATAGAATATGCTGTTATAGTTTTGTCGGTCCACTAATTTCGGGGCACTCTATCTAGCCAGGATCAAATAATGATAAATTAACATTTCCAAATTCGTATTGAACTTGCCCTTTCAATATTCGACAGAGTAGCCAAAACGATATTTTGGCTAGTCTGTCGAATATAAATTATTATAAATTGGCTCCGCATTTACTTTTTCCTGCGACTTAAGTTGGCAAAATAAAAAAGGTTATCTGTTAGTTTGTTAAATAATTATAATCAAAATTTCAATGATCCGATTTTCTTGGTCCCAAATATGGATCACCGCAAGTTTCGATGCTTAAATTCCGGATCATGACCTTTTTTTTAACTCGCATAGTTCGATTACATTTAAGGCGAGGTTGCGATGTGATAAACACGACTCATTACCCGGTTTACGACTATGGCCGGTTTAGCGTCAGCCGTCGAAATTCGACGTAAAAGTCATCGCGAAAAAGTTTTCGCAATGCACGCCCGTAAAAATCTCCGGGGAACCCGCGTCCAATTATCTGGAAAGCTTCTCCATGAAAATAACGGATCTGGTAGAATAAAATCGATTTCTCTCGGGTATACGATTGTTGTAGATATTACTTAAACATTTTTATGAACGTATTTGTTATAGAAATATACAGATTTCGTGACGCTACAACAAAATAGGTACCGGGCGTCCGACGTAAAAAATTAAAGCAGCATTGTTTGCAAGAGGAAGTTTACATACGTAAAAATAGTGATATTGAGCCGAATATGTGAATTTTGCTCGTTAGTGCGACACAGGGTGTTAAAGTTTTGCTCTTGACATTCCATTTCTCAATAGCTCAAGCAGTTTTGGAGATTGATATTTTTTCGCATAACATGTAGAAAGGCTAGTTACACCATATTATTTTGCCATTTCATGACATAACTTTCTTGTCAGTACCATTACGTCACATTTTTTTGAAGATTATTATAAGTGCATTTCATTTATTTAAGCAACGTTTTAAAAATATGTACACGTATTTTATTAGACCCGTTTCTACAACGAGCGAAGCGAGATTCTACTAATTTTACTTATTTGAATATTCATTGTACCTAGGCGCAACCAACCACTTGAAGTATTTTTTTTTAGTTTTCAAATAGCGGTATAAGACATTTTATTTTCATTAATAAATACCAACGGTAATGTCCAATATAGATGTGTTTATTCTAATCCATAGCCTACTCATTCTTAATAAACTGTCTTAGAGCCAGCAATTGAAGTTGAACCTGGACTAGCGAGATATTAGGATCATTTTAACCGAAAGACAGCAGATTCCTACAAGAACTGCTAAACACGGTCGGCTACAAAAAGTTTTTTGAATTACCAATTACCCTGCTAAAGAGTATTCCTTTATCTGTATCCTTGGTTTTGCTTACCCCGTTTTGCTAAAAACTCCTGCTGAAAGGCACGAAAATAATTTCTAGTATCTTCTCTTGCCCGATCTACCTAACAATATTTTTTTGCAAATATAGGAAGATATATACAGTGACATCCCGTACATTTAGTCTATTCGCGGCAATTCAACTCTGTGCATCATGACGTAGCTATATGCGTACTAATAAACAAATATTCGCTTATTCTATCACAATATTTGGCTATTATTTGCGGCTTGCTTAAATAAGTAGGTAATCTCTTGTTTAACTCTGACGCTGTTAATAACTTAGCAGCTTGTGAACCGTCTATGAGTATTATGAATAAACTTACCTTCGTTTAACGATGGCCACCAGAACGGTATGTTGACTTCCCTTCGAATTCCTAATGGATCTGAAAAAATGTTTTTTTTGTTACTATAATTCATTAAGTTAGCGTTTCAGTAATTTAAGTAACTAAATTTATTAAGTAATTCATTAAATAATTTAATAACCATTTAACTTATAGAATTAAATCTATAAAAATATAATTTATTTCTAACACAATCATATTAAATGACAAGGAAACGTCACCGAGACATCACATGGCCTAGTGTAAATACATTTACAAGATTACACACGATTAAAAAAATTTTCTTTACGAATAATGTTAAGTAATAAAATGACAAAAATTTATAAATAATAAAGACAGGATCATCTCTATTTTCAACCCCAACTACGCCGCTACGCTAAGCTTTGTTTGCCTTTAGCGTCAGAAACTGTATGTCTTTTAAAAAAAATGACTTGTGTACAGGGAGACTCAGCCCGGCACTGTTCCTGGTAACAATCGTTGTTGTTGTACAATATTTAGAATATCCCACATAGTCATACAACAATTGCGGAAGTCCTGCGGACGATGAACAGAAAGACACAATATTTTGGCGACGCTATGAGAAACCAAAAAGACGAACTTCTTACCATGGAAGGCAAAGCCAATAGCAGAGAAATGGGAAAATGCAATAGCAACAGACACCTTAAGAAAAATAAAAATTACAAGCATACCACCCAGTCTTATCCTTACTTATACTTTTTTTGAAGATTAAAATGAAATTTCCTTAATTTTTTATTAAGTTAAGTTAAAGATCTAGTTAGAGATAAAAATTTGATGTATCCTGATATAGTTTTTAATTTAGGTTGCTGCTGAGTGAAGATGTGGTTGTAAGGCAAAAAAATGCTACTTCCCTGATAATTACTACATTTATCCCTTCTTCATTTTTTATGTATCGAGGATATATACGATGCTTTACATTCTTCGAGAGTTCGCAACTTACTTTCAATGATTAATATCGGATTTTTTTTCAATACCTTTGTACGCACAGATTATTATGTCGGAATTTTTATGATGCATTATTATTTTGTTTATGCGTCGGTAATTCCGCGTCCTTGTACAAATCCGTAAGCGAAATTGAAATTAAGTCATGATTTATTGGATTGTTAATAAGCTGAATAAGCTACATATCCGCGAATATACCTTTTGAAACGCATCTTCGAGAAAAATCACGTCGGTCTTGTTCGCTATTTCCAATTTTCCATTCCTGAATCGATACAGAGTTCGCATTGTTAACAAAACTAGAATGTTTTATTGTGTTGTAAGGTCGGGATGATTTCGAGGCACTGCTACTTTTGGAATGGAAACGCCAATGAAAAGGCATACATAAATTTTTACTCCGTGAAATGGCATCCCGGATGATATATCGCGTGTAGATTCAATAAAGATGATGTCGTTTATCATGGACAGATTGAGGTTGTAAGTTCGTTTACGTTCCGAGCAAAGAGTTCCGAAGATTATATATATATATATATATATATATATATATATATATATATATATATATATATATATATATATATATATATATATATATATATATATATATATATATATATATATATATATATATATATATATATATATATATATATATATATATATATATATTATATTTCACTTTTCAAAAATAACTTTTTAAAAAATATATTTATTAACTTTAAATCAAAATTAAAATCCACATGAAAATGGACATAATAACCTCGTGACGAGAGAATGTTATTAGACCGTTAAAATCAAAGTAAAAATGGACATAATAACCTCGTGATGAGAGAATGTTATCAGACAACGTTTTACAATAAAAATTTGTATTTATAATAAATTTGTGCGACGTTGACGGGGTCGACGGCTGCGGATGTTGCGACATATCGTTGACACGACGTTTTCGCAATCGTTGCACTCTTGCAGGTCGGTGGCATTTAACCCATGTGGACAATAGGATTTCCGGATATAACATATATCAATCAATATCATATAACAAAATTAATTTTGATTTAAAGTTAATAAATATATTTTTCAAAAAGTTATTTTTGAAAAGCGAAATATAAAAATTGGCGCAGTCGTGGTAGGATCCGTTCACGTTGCTAGAAGACGAGTATTCTAACTAGTGACGGCAGATTCCAATCCCTTAAACCGAAAGAAGAACCATCGCAGCCAGTCGTGCCGGAACAAGGAACCTTGCATCACCGTTTCGAGAGACAGAAATTCGGAGTAGGCACGTGGCTAGTATTCTAACTAGTGGCGGCAGATTCCGACCCCTAAATCTAGGGAACAGCAAAGACAGTCCCATTGTACCGGAACCAGGATAAACCCATCACCGTCTCGAAAGGCAGCAATGTAAATAGTACTGTAAGTGTTAAGAATCGTTACAAAATATTTTATTTTTAATTTGCAATATTGTTGAATTTATTACGTTTGATTTCCCAAGGTTGAAAATTACCTATTTATTGAATTTCCCAACGTAGAATCGTTCCGCGATAATTATTTTGATTTAATTTTAGTCTGCAAGTTTAACTTAGCAACGAGGGTGACCAAATATTTTTAGGAAATTTTATAAACGCGTGTAATTGTGCTTATATTATGGCAACAACGCAACACAAAATTCTTTTAGTTATTCACTAAACTATTATTACTATTAACTCTACATTTTGGCATTCTAGAGATTTACCTCCCCTAATTCATGACCTTCAACGTTTTAAACAATTGCCCAATGAATCGCCATTAATTATTTTTCAATCGCCTTCAAGTCCCAAATGCGAAAATGCATTCATGTGTTCAAAAATCCACCACATTAAGATCCAAAGAGCAAAAGGATGCTCAGATATCTTTAATTGAGACTATAGCCCTTAATACATTTCTTACAGCTTTAGAACCTAGATTAGGTCAACTTATTCGTGCTAGTAATCCCACCTCACTCTTAGAAGCCCAAAGTTTGATATAGCTGTGGCAAAGAATACGTTGGTGAAAGAGAGACAATCAATATAGTAAGCAGGAGGCATCCAGAAGAAGTGTACATACAGAATTATCTATATCTGTACCTGTTAGTGACACACAGCTCTTAGGCATCAGAAGGTTCATTGTACTTCCTCCAGAGGCACAGTTCCGCTTCGTTCGGCTAGATTGGGTAACAGTCGCTTAACTTTACATCGCCTCATATTCGTTGACTATAAAATAAGAAATTTTCGTTTGCTTGAATGCGTCTTCTAGTGTTAATTTTTAAAGAATGCACAATATCAAAAAACCAAATATCAATGAAGGCAAGATATGCAAAAAATAAATCCTTTCGAAATTTTACATTAGGTTATCTCAAGGGGTAACTAGACTAGATTTTGGATTCATTTTTGGTATCTGCTTCTAGAGTGAAAGCAGTTGATAAACAAACAAAAGTAAATAATAACTAAATAAATTAACATAAGTATTATACATTTCAATAATACATTAAGTTGCTTATATTTGATTAATTATTTAATTAAAATAAATTTTTTGACTGTGTGGGTGCTTATAACACTACATTCTTTGGCTACTAGTGTTAATCAAGCTAACATCAAAGTAACAATATTATATGTGATGTTAGTTAGTATGTCACATTTGTCATTTATCTGGAAATGAGAAATCTTTTCTGAAGGGAACATGGCTTTTATATAATAGTTAACAATTAAAATTTATTTTAAAAATTATAAAATTGAATAATATCGACTTTTCAAGGAAAAAAATTTATTTCGTTTTTAACTTGTGTAGTTAGTCTAACACGTTTATTATTTTTAGCTGACTCGGCTTATGCACTGCATCCTACTAGAGTCCTAAAAAAGCGTAAAAAATGATAAATGCCTGTGTTATATTGGATAATATGCGTATTTTAGGCAATTTGGATTTAGAATCAGCAGCAGATTTAGTAGCAGAAAGAAGGCTGCAATACGAAATTATTAATAACTTTAGAAATGTTGTACACTGAAATAAATTATTTAAAAATTATTAAAAATAAAATAAACGGAGTAAAATTAAAAAATACAACAAAATACGTAAAAATAATTTGCATTTGCTAATACGAAACTGTAATAAAAAAGGAACACCTACTGGCAATATTTGAATAAACAAAACAGAAGTAACTAAACAAAACATACAACAAACTAATAAACAGCTTTACTAATTAATATATGTAAAGCATATAAGCATATATGTAATGACGAAGAAAATTTCTTATTTAATATTTTATTTTCAGTCTCATGTTGTATTTAGCATTATGGACCATAAAAACCACATAAAAACTTAGCTGAAATATTAGGCTTGATAATCAAAAAAGAAAATAACTGGGTGTATTGACAGCGCTGATTATCGTAGAGTATGGATATGATTCGCCAAGTATGGCTTCTGCCTAAAGGAGAGATTAGGACTTTCACATGCATGTTCTATTGTTTCGTCTTCTTATTCGCACACCCTGTACATGGGGGTGCTACTCAAAACCAGCCTGAACTAATGTTTTTTAAGTAAGTAATGTTTGCAGTAATGTTGACTGTTGTTTCGGTTGCTAGTTAGCCAATAGTTTTCTTTTTCAACCCATTGATTTAGAAATTGTTTATGTGAGTTTTCCTTTGTCAGCCCTTTAATGACTGACGTCGCCTGACTGACAGAATGTTCCAATGCAATAAAGTTTAGTTCGGTAGCCCTCCTGAGCAAGGAGTCGCCGGCATAACTTCCTCTGAAATATGCATGCCCCTTACCTAACTAAAGATGACCACAGAAACATTAACGAAGACACGGTGACATTGTAGTGCTAGTTATGACGTAAAACGTACTCTATGAAGTACCAGACGGGCGTGTCTGCTATCTGTATACATAAATACAGTTTTATAAGCAACTTTGCACTGGTATTTTCTTTTGCGGCAAAAGTAATGAGAGCAAGCTTCGTTTACGGCACACTGGGCATCTTACCCTTACCCCTAGTCATTATAAGCGGTGGGTAATATATCTGAAAACATCCGATTGCACCCAAACCCGCGCGGTAAAATCCCGGAAATGAACGAAGCGGT